GGTGTTATATTTCTTCAGGATGTTTTTTCCCACTATGGCTTGAGAAAACCTCGCACCTGGGGGAGGTAGAATACCATTTATGAAGTTGCTGTGTTTTTTCTGTCATGTTTTATCTCATAGGTCTGACCTAGGCCAGAATGACCCCGTTCAGGATCATTTACTGTTTAAGAAGACTCTCCTGCCAGTCTGGAAGATGATTGCCAGTCACAGGTAGGTATCCAAAGTGGTGTTGGGATTATGTTCAGAAATGAAGCAGTGACACATACTAGGTACTAAGCATTAAAGGAGATGTGTTCATCCCCTCACGTGAGCCATAGCTGAGAGGCAAATCCTGTATCTAAGCCTGTTTTATCCATAAGTACTCACAGCTGCTTTCACAGGTCTGCATAAGAAATAGTTGCTGTGTCATGAGTTGCCTCTAAAAATTGTTTCCTATTACATGATAAAATTTGTATTTAAAATATATGCCTCCTTCCAATATGATGGCGTCTCCTTTTCCACAGACATAGGGCCTCAGGGGACTTGAACAAATTTCTAAGCACTAAATCACTATATTACAATAGTAGTTAAATGTTTTATAGGTTTTTTTTCCTTAATTCTTTTTCTGTTCAGCAAGAAGAAACTAATAGATTTCTTCCTTAATGGCACTCATAGTCTGCATTTTCCTAAGGAAGGTCTAACAAGAAGTGAGCCACACTTTGTAGTTTAAATATTGTCTTCTAGTTCATAGCTACTCTTCTTATTCAGAGTGACTTGCCAGAGTTCCTCATCCTCTCTGGGTTTGTCCCTTACCAGGTTCAGCAGTCCATTTCTGAAGCCTGTGTCAGATAGGCAGGCCCCAGGATACAAAGATGTGGTGAAAAGGTCAGTGGAAAAGGGGTCAAGAAAGGTTGGTCGCTTTTATATCTGTCTTTTCATTCTTTTTTTTAAGTTATTTTGTTGTTGCTGCTGCCATTGAGAATATACACAGCAAACAATATACCAATTCAAGTTTCTGCATGTACAATTCAGTTACATTGATTATATCCTTCAAGTTGTGCAGTCATTCTCACTCTCATTTTCTGAGTTGTTCCTCCCCCAGTAACAAAATTTCACTGCCCCCTAGGGTTCGTATCTGATCTTTCAAGTTGCTGTTATCAGTTTGAACCCATATAGATAGATTTTAAATGAGCACAATGCTCAAGGCGGACATTCTTTACTAGTTAAGCTAAACTATCATTTGGTTTTAAGAAGACTTCAGAGGATATTTTTTGTTTAAGTTTAAAGATTATCTCAGGGCAGTAGTTTCAGGAGTTCATCTGGCCTCTATGGCTCCAGAAAGTCTGGATTCCATGAGGATTTGAAATTTTGTTCTGCATTTTTCCCCTTTTTGACCAGGATTCTTCTATAGAATCTTTGATAGCCAGGCACCATTGAGTTCTTCTGGTCTCATGGCAAAGGAGACAGTTGTTCATGGAGGCAATTAGCCACACATTCTATTTCTTCCTCCTATTTCTGACTCTCATTCTTCCTGTGTTGTTCAAGATGAACAGAGACCAATTGTTGTGCCTTGGATGGTGTCTTTTGATTCTTTATTTCTCATCTATTAGATTATTTTTTTTTACTTCATTGACATTACTCAAGATACATTTTGCAGCTAAAGATGTTAAGTTATGGTTAGCTCGGTCTTTTCATTTGAGAGGGAATGAAGGGAACAAAAAGATACTATAGTTTTTTGTTTTGGGGGTTTTTTTCCCCATATTTTTAAGCAATGTGATCCATTTAGTATAATCATACCGTTAGCCTTTAGTAGATTTTGACACTGTTCTTTGGAGCAAAACTTGAAAAGGAAAGCTGTATGACCAGGCAGTTATGTAAGTATTAAGGCAGCTATGGTAATCCAAAGGGATGTTACTAACGTTGGTTGTTTACAGTATTTTGGATTTTGACAGCATAGTATATTTAAAATGCTGTCATAAACCAATGTGTTAATACAGTATAGAAGATCAGGAAGGGACCTTTGGAAAAAAAACACTTTCATATTAAATGTAAGAAAACTAAGGCTTAGTGGTGGTCATGACTTGCAGTTAATAGCAGAGCTAGAACTAAACCCCAAATTCTTACCTTCCAGTTTAGTCCTGTTTCTATACTACTGTGCCTTCTCTTACATACCCACTCCCTGTGCCTCATTAAGTAATCATTTATCTTATTATTCACCTGATCCTCATTCTTTTTACTCCCATGAGAGGAGAAAAAATTCTTAGCTTTGATTTATGCAATAATAAAAGTAGATTAATTACCTAGTATAAGACTGTACATTGTAAACAGTCAGTCAGTAACTGCTGTGTGACAAACTGACCATTGGACTCTTTACAGCTTTGGTACCTAGGGCCAGCATTCCTACTACGATGTTGTTGTTGTGTGCCATGAGTTGATTCCAACTCATAGTGACCCTATATGACAGAGTAGAATTGCCCCATAGGATTTCCTAGGCTGTAATCTTTGCGGGAGCAGATTGCTAGGTCTTTTGCAGAGCTGCTGGGTGAGTTTGAACCACCAAGCTCTGGTTAGCAGGAATGCACTTAACCATTACACCATCAGGACTCCATCCTACTATGATAGTTGAGTGAAACGTCTGGGCCTGTGGGTTCTGGAGTCAGGCTGCCTTTGAATTGGAATCTAGGCTGGGTGACTTGGGACAGGTACTTCACCTCTTTAGATCTCAGTTTCATCTGTCAAGTGGGAATAATACTTACGTTATACTTTTATTGAGAAAATTGAGTTTATATATAAAGTGCCTAGCATAGTGCTTGGTCTATTGTAAGCAGTCAAATGTTAGCTGCTGGTGTTATTTTATTATTTGGTGGGTTGGTTTTATTTTTACTTTTTTTTCATTAAGAGCTGGTTAGTTCTCCAAGAGAGCATGTCAGGTCCCACATATTCCACATGAATGTTTGATTTCCCCTGGTTTCTCTTGGCCATCTGCAGACCCATGGACTTAACTAGCTTGAAGAGGAATCTGTCAAAGGGACGGATTCGCACCATGGCCCAGTTTCAGCGGGACCTGATGCTGATGTTCCAAAATGCTGTGATGTACAATGACTCTGACCATCACGTGTACCACATGGCTGTGGAGATGCAGCGGGAAGTCTTGGAACAGATTCAGGTACTGTATATAGAGAGCTTCAGGAAAAAGGAATATAGCCTCTGGAATCTGATTTCAGAAAGTCTTTGAGAATAAGGATGATAATGAGATGACCTTGTGTTCCCAGAGTTTATCTTTAGGGGTAATTCAAGGCCCTGAAAGATTGACATTGTGCCTACTGGTTTGGAAAGTCCTGAGCCTCAGTAGGTCCAGCTCTAATAAATTGTGAGGTGAAGTAGTCCAGGAAGGCAGGCAGCAGTGGAGAGCTCTCAGGAGAGCTGGGAATAGATAAGTAATGGGAGATCCTGCTTCTAGAGCCTCAGGTCAGAGGCACAGACTTGTAAACCAGAGGCTGGAGTCAATGAGCATTTTTGGTTTACTACATCTGTTGATATTAAGGTACCTTCACACTATCCCATCTTTAGCAAATAAGACATAGTAGCCAGAAGAGGACATTTGAGGATTTCTTTCTGGGCAGCATCATACTTTAAAGAAAGAAGTATAGTCAAATTTATGTGCAGAAGAAGAAATAATTTGCATTCAAACCTCTGTAGCTTTTAAGATTCATAGCTTGCTATCTGTGCCTTGACCCTGTAGGTGCTGAGTATTTGGTTAGATAAAAGAAGAGATTTAAGTAGCCTGGAATGAGAACCACCCAACCTGGTGGATGATGGATGGAAAACCTGTTTTGTTAACCTGGAGCTGCTACCTTGACCATTTCTGGAGTTTGGACCTCTTCTTAAGACTCTGACCCAAAGATTTCAGTACTTGTTTACCACTTCTCTGTTTTCTTTTCTAATAAAAGTAAGGCCTTTAATTCATCACCAAGGAGTCAAAGATGTCTGTGAACATAGTATAAAGAAAAGAGGAAGGCTGAGATTTGGGTTTATGCACAATTGTTGCCCACAACTTTGTTCTGCAAGCTTAATTTAGAGATAACTAGATTAAGCCTATTATTACTGATCTATAAATAAATGTTACTTCACAAACCTCAGACTGCTTTTTAATGATTAAAGAAGCCGGGTATAAAGAGGATAGCATGATGTGGTGAAATGAAGAAGATATTTGACACCGGTTTTCTTATATATACTATCTGGAACAGGGCGGGGTGTGATTGGGGGGCAGGGTATCTTTGATTTGTCTTCTAATTTGTAAAACCAAAAAACTAATCCCGTTGAGTTGATTGGGACTCATAGTGACTCTATAGGACAGAGTAGAACTGCCCTGTGGAGTTTCCAAGGCTGCAATCTTTGCAGGAGCTGACTGCCGTATTTTTTACCTATGGCGGTTAGCTGCCGAGCTCATAACCACTGCAGTACCAGGGCTCTTCCTCATTTGTAACGTCTGGATAATTGAAGCATCCCTCAAATGGTGGGAAGAAGAATAAGATAAATTATGAAGAAAATGTAAAAACAACAACAACAAAACCCAAAAAGTGTAGTGCTCTTGGAACAGATTCAGGTATTGTATATAAAGAGCTGCAGGAAAAAGGATATAGCCTATGAAATCTGATTTCAGAAAGTCTTTGAGAATAAGGATGATACTGAGATGACCTGGTGTTCCCAGAGTTTATCTGTAGGGGTAATTCAAGGCCCTGAAGGACTGACGTTGTGCCTACTTGTTTGGAAAGTCCTGAGCCTCAGTAGGTCCAGCTCTAATAAATTGTGAAGTGAAGTAGTCCAGGAAGGCAGGCAGCAGTGGAGAGCTCTCAGGAGAGCTGGGAATAGATAAGTAACGGGAGATCCTGCTTCTGAAGCCTCAAGTCAGAGGCATAGACTTGTAAACCAGAGGCTACGAAAACGTCTGTGGCTGGTTCCCTTTCTTGGTTAAAAGAAATCAGCGAAGGGTCGAAGCTTACTGCTAGGATTGGCCCTCTGCAGCCTCCGTCCTAGAGCTGGGGCTTCTGGTCTCCTAGCAACAACTTGTGGCCACTGAGGAGGGTGCGGTGCTGTGGTGAGTGCCTCCGGTGGGTGCAGCCCAGAGAGGATGAGAGGACCACGCTTTTCAGTCAGTCCTGGCCCTAAACCAGCAGTCGTCCCTGCGGGGCGGGGTCTCTTCATTAAGGCAGCTAGCCACTAGAAGCTGCTCACCTGCCATTGGAGTAGCGTTGCCCATCCTTCCATGCCCCTGCTCCCACTCCCGCCCCTGCTCCCACTCCCGCCCCCGCCCCCACCCGTCTGCCACAGTCCCAGACCTTGTAGCAACCCCTTGGCCTCTGTCTTGTAAGCCCCTCAGTCCTTCCCTCGGTGAATGCGCTTACAAAAACACAAGGCATGACCTGGACGCGGGGTAGTAGAAATATCACTGAGACAATGCTTATAGAAAAATATATGGCAGTTTGTAACTTTATAAATTAAAATCAAGCACTTAATATTGCTATTCTTAATCACAATTACATTAATTTTGGGGTGGGTAGAGTACTGTCGTTGCAGTTGATACCTGTTAAGAAACTATTAAATTGTACTCTGAAAAGCCAGGATGGAGATATCAATGCCCCTACCTCAGATATATGTAGAAAAAACTCTGGCCATTATCAAACCAGATATTGTTGACAAAGAAGAGGAGATACAAGATATTATTCTCAGATCTGGATTCACCATTGTTCAGGTAACTTCTGGGCAGGGTGATCATGCTTTTTTCTCTTTTTGATTCTTTTTTATGTAAATGGCGCTAGTCCATTTAGATCCTTAGTGTTTAGCGTTAAATTTAGGTTTATTCTTGTAGCTGTAAAAGTAACGTGATAATTGTAAAAAAAAAATTTTTTCATGCTTCAGAAGAATATAAAATGAGAAATAAAGTTCCCTTTTCTTTCTCTCCAACCCCAAGTCTCAGTCTCCAGAGGCAACCACTGTTAACACTTTCTGTTCTTCCAGGGATTATCGATGCATTTTCAAACCTTTTCCCCCTTTAAAAGAGCATAGTTTCTCTCCCTTGACCCCCCTTTACAAAGTCCCTGAATATTCCAAATATTACGTCTGATTCTATCTCATTCTTCCTTACTTCTGTGTAATATTCCTCTGAATGGATGCACCGTTATTTATTTACTTTTAAAAGTTCTCTATTCATAGTCTTTTAGGTTGTTGGTATTTTTTTCAGTTAATATTTTTCATTACAAACATTTAAGGTTTTAAAGCCTTATATTTGTTCTGCAGTTGGTAAACATTGTCATTTTAGAGGCTTGGAAATGAATATAAAAAGAGTATTGTTGAAGATTATCAAATAGAATTGAATATTTTTAATCTTTTTGTACCATCCTTACTTGAATTTCCAGTTTTTTATTCTCTTACATTTATACAGTGTCATATTGCCTATTTAGTCAGTGTTCTAAAAAATAAAAAAGAGAAAACTTCAATCTTATGGAAATATATAGAATTTCAGTTGAATTTCAAAGGCTAGGTAGAGGCCAAGAGTAGAGATGGTACAAGAAAAATGTAAGTAAACAGTACAGGAAAGTGTAAGGAAATATTTAATATAATTGAGAGAACTTTTTAATAAATGGTGTTAGGAAAACTGGATAGGCTTTTTTTTTTTTTTTTT